AGTCTGACTCTTTGTATTCCCATTTGGGGTTTTCTTGGCAAAGATACTAGAGGAGTTTGTCATTTCCCTCTCCAGCTCATTTCACAGATGAGGAAACTGAGGCAAGCAGAGTGGAGTGACTTGCCCACAGCTAGCAAGTGTCTGAGGCTGAATTTGAACTCAAGCCTTCCTGACTCCAGGACTGGTGCTCCACTGCACCACCTAGCTGCCCTCCTCATCTATAAAACGGGACTAATAACAGCATTTATCTCTCAGGAATTTGAGAGGATCTAAGGAGAGAATTATGGCTTGTGCTTTGCAAACCTTCAAGCACCATATAAATGGAATCCATTACAGCTATCTTTATTAAGTTGTACCACATAATCTTATCTTCTCTTACCTTAAAATTAGGATGAATACATTTTCTAAAACAACAGTCAGAACAGGTAGTCTGACAAAGCACCATCCCTTTACAAAGCCTTGGAGTTGTCCTGGCAAATCAGGGACTTATGATTACAAACTTTTACTATTTTCAAGTGATTGTCTAAAAGTAGACTTTGTCTCTCAAGGAGTCATAGTGTAGTGAAAAGAACACTAGACTCTGAGTTAGGAAAGACTTTGCTTTGCATATCACACCCCCAACACTTGCCTGTGTCATGGGCAAGTGGCTTGCAGCAATCTGAGTTTCAGTTTTCTCAGCTACAAAATGTGGATACTATTACCTGCAATGGAGGCAGCTAGGTGACCCAGTGGATAGAGAGCTAGGCCTGAAGTCAGGAAGGCCTGAGTTCAGATCCAGCCTCAGACACTTAGTACCTGGGTAAATCACTTCCCCCGTTTGCCTCAGTTTCCTCATCTGTAAAATGAGCTAGAGAAGGAAATGACAAGCCATTCCAGTATCTCTGCAAAAAAAAAAAAAAAAAGAAAAAAAGAAAAACAAACAAACAAAAAACCCTATATGGGTCATGAAGAGTCAGAAACAACTGAACAACAATATTAAGATTTACAAAGTGCTTTATAAGTTATCCCATTTGATCCTCCCAACAACCCTGTGAAGCAGATGCTATTAACATCCCCCATTATACAATTAAGGAAACTGAAGCTGAGAGAAGTTAGTGGGTTGCCAAAGGTCAGATAGCTAGTTAAGTGTCTGAGGGAGGATTTGAACTCAGGTCTTCCTAACTCCTAGTCTAGCACTCTATTCCCCGTACCACCTAGCTGCCTCTAAGTGGGTCTTAGTGCAGCAGAACATAGCTGGAATTAATTTTTTTAAAGCATATTTTCTATTATACTTATTTGAAAAATATTTAGGTTAACTTATCAACACATTTTCACATTAAATATCAAATGCAATGAAATTCTGCTACAGTCTTTCCTTACAGAGGATGAAACTGATTTTTAAATTAAAATATTCATTATTCCTGACTGTAAGATTTGTGGTGACCTCTATAGTCACAGGCAAGTTTGGAAGAGGGGTGGGTTATGGGGGAAAGATGTGACCTGTCTTCTTGCCCTCTAATAAGTTGAATCCTTCTCCCTGGCCTCAGGTCTTGCTGCCCTCCTATCCTCCTACTTTGGAGACCACTAGTCAATGTGACTATGGTAAATAGTAAAGCACCTCACCAAGCCTAATGGCTCGTTCATGCCTGTAATTCCTGCTGCTGGAGAGGCTGTGACTGGTGGATTGTTTGGGCTTGGGGGTTTTGAGTTATAGTTGGGTTTAAAGTCCATCGTGTGTCTGTACTAAGTCCAGTTCCAATATGACGAACTCCTGGGAGCAGAGAGCCACCAGGTACCTAAAGGGGAATAGTAAAATGGCACAGGTAAAAAACTGAGCAAGTCAAAACTTCCCCAATCATCCTTAGCGGAATCAGGCTGGTGAAGGGGCATTGCATTCCCAGACCGGGTAAGATTAGGAGACCAAGTCTCAAAAAATTATTTTAAAAACTCAATGTATATTCTAAAATGAAAGGGAGTTAATAACATTATAGTTGTTTTATGGCTGAATTTGGGGGGGGGAGTGGAATTGCCCTTATATTACAGTGCTCAGTAACACTCTTTTTTTAAAATATCAAAGGATCATATATTTTAGAGTTAGACCTTAGAGACCATCTGGTTTAATGCTCTCATTTTATAGATAAATAAATGATATAGCCCAGGTGAAAAAGGAATTCTGACTCCAAAGTCAATGATTCTTCTATCACTCCTCAAACTTCAAAATTTCTTTAGTAACATCCTAGATGTTAATGTCCAGCAGAGTGCACCAGGGATGTGTGGCTCTAGGCTGGTTAATATTTTTATCATTATTTTGGTTGGAGGCCGAATGGCAGGAGTATCAGATATACAGAAAACACAAAGCTTGAGGGGCAGTGGGGGACATGAGGGGAGCAGCTGGTACAGGGAGCTAACACAACGGATGCCAAAGCCAGGAACAGAAAAGCATTTGACCAGCTAGATGGCTGGGCTAAATCTAATTAAATGAAATTCAATAGGGATAAATTTCTTGCACTTGGGTTCAAAAAATAGACTCGACAAATACAAGATGGTGGAGGCATGGCTAGATATTAGTTTATCTGAAAAATATCTGGGATTTTAGTAGATTGTAAGCTCAAAATGAATCAATATAAATAGATCCCAAAAAGTAACTATGAGCCTGGCCTCCATTGAGATGCATAGCTCCCAGAAATGAGGCCATGACTGTACTCTGACCCAGTCAGACCACATCTCTACTATTGTATTCAATTCTAGGGGACACAGGCAAAGGACATTCATAAACTGGAGAACATCCACAGGACAGCAACCAAAATGGGAAAGAATCTTAATTCTTGCCATATGAAGATTAGTTGAAGGAAATAGGAGTGTTTAACCTAAAGATGAAGAAGAACACAAGAGCTATATTCACTTATTTGAAGGGCTGCCATGTGGAAGAAGGATTAATCTTGTTCTGTTTGGTACCAGGGGACAGAGATAGGAACAATCCATGGCAAGTTACAGAGACAAATTTAGGCTCAATAAGAGGGAAAAAAATTTCTTAAGTGATTAGAGATGCCACAAAGTGGAAGGGGCTACCTTGAGGTAGTGGGTTCCCCCTCATCTCTAGCTCTTCACTAGCTCTTCACTCAGTGGCTGGATCTACCACCTAAAAGATAGGCTGTAATGGGGCTCACTCAGTGGCTGGATCTACTACCTAAAAGATAGGTTGTAATGGGGCTTACTTTGGGGGAAAGGGTGGGACCGGATGGCCATTGAAGTCCCTTTCAACTCTGAAATCTGTGATTCTGTCATTCAAAGGGGCAGCTAAGTGGTGCAGTAGGTAGAGTGCCAGGACTAGAGTCAGGAAGACCTGAGTTCAAATCTAGCCTCAGATACTTCTGAGCTGTGTGATCCTGGGGAAGTCACTTACCCTCTGTTTCCCTCAGTTTCCTCATCTGTAAAATGGGGATAATAACAGTACGTCCCTCCCAAGGTTGTTATGAGGATCAAATGAGATCATAATAATAAAGTACTTAGCACAATTCCTGGCACATAGTAAGCACCATATAAATGTTAGTTGTTATTATGATTATAGAATCTTAGTGCTAAGAGATCACAGCAATTATCTAGTCTCCCTGTGGCCATCACAGCCTATTGGGGCCCAAAGCAGCTCCATTGACCCTGAAAGATGGTCTTCATTATTCTATTAGTCACACACACACACACACACACACACACACACACACACACACACACACATACACACACACACAGGTTTTTACCTGATCAGCCAGCCTGCATGAACTAATAGGTCAGTAGGGTCCAATAAAGTGCCCACTGCCCCTGTTCTGGGACTGCTGCCAGGTATCTTGCCTGATCAGAACAGTCAGCAGTTCTAACTGAAGTGGAATATAATTTAATTATATGCTTAAATTCATTTGACCCACCCACAGGCATGCAGCCTAGGCTTCATGGTCCTGTTGGGATAGTTGACTATTAAAATTCATAGCTTTGAACCCCCACTGATATATCTCTCTATGCTTCATCAAGTCAGATAATACCTAAATTCAAAGCAAAGACATTTAATTAAAAGAGAATGGCATGGTATTAATAAAGAATTAGGTATTAAATGGTCTCTGTGACCGTTTCCAAATGACTGCCAAGACCATACCTTTACCAGTAATAGACACGGTTACTAGAAGAGTCGGGGCTAGAACTAGGCTATAACTGGGGTGGGGAAATTAGAGCTTTGGCCTAGGGCACTGAAATTTAAATTGCTCTGAAATTTAGAATGCACAGACTACACTTACCTCCTTCAGCAGCACAATTGTAGGAAACTAGTCAATCCCCCATCATCCCTTATGTCTCCCTAATGCAGTGGTAGAGGGTTAATTCATGGAAAGTTATTAAGGGACTATGTTGCAGCAGAAGTATCGGTAATGCTATTTTCTTGGTGCAGCAACTAGAAAGCATTGTTAACTTCTCTCAGTATTACAATCACTTTTATTGTCTGTGCTAATGCAGGTGTGGTCTTGATGTGGCTGTTATTTTTCTTCTGTCTCTCACCTTCCTCATACCCACTTTTCTTGGAAGACTCCTATATACTTTTAAACTGTGAACACTAGAAGCACATCTACCCAATCTGAGTCCACGCAGGGTGATTTTGCCATGTTTCAAAGTCCATGTACAGGTTTTTTTGAGGTATACTTCAAAGAGAATTTCCTGCCATAAGTAGGGGTCTCTCAGCACCATGCTTTGAGGAAACATGAGGTTTGTATACAGACATACCTTTCTACCTCTTCCCAATCAATACAAAATTTATAGTTACTACAAATCATACTAGGTACCCAGGTACATCGGTAAACTTAAACCATAAATACTCATAAATTGGCATATAACATAGTAAAAATGGAGGGAGGAACCATGTTATTGCATTATCTGAAAGTGAAAGTTTTCATTATTGAACTGAATCTGTGCATTTTATTGTATTCGGTTTTTGTTCTCTTGTTTGTTTAGCAAGCTCTTGCCTGTGACATCGTGTTGCAGTCATGGCACCCAAAAAGAAGACTGTCAAAAAGAACAAAGGAGAGGTCAATGAGATGACAATAATTGTAGAAGATAGCCCACTCAACAAACTGAATGCTTTAAACAGTTTCCTAGAAGGAGGCAATGGATTGAACTGCATCTCATCAGAAGTGACCGATGCCTCATATGGACCCAACCTCTTGGAAGGTTTAAGCAAAATGAGGCAGGAGAACTTCCTCTGTGACTTAGTAATTGGCACCAAAACTAAATCCTTCAATGTTCACAAGTCAGTGATGGCCTCCTGTAGTGACTATTTTTACAACATACTAAAGAAGGACCCCGCCACTCAAAGAGTGGATCTCAATGATGTGTCACCGGTCGGCCTGGCTACTGTGATTGCGTATGCCTATACTGGAAAGCTGACTCTTTCCTTATACACGATAGGAAGCATCATTTCTGCGGCTGCCTACCTTCAAATCCACACCCTCGTGAAGATGTGCAGTGACTTTCTGATACGAGAAATCAGTGTTGAGAATTGTATGTACGTTGCTAACATAGCAGAAACCTATAACCTAAAAACCACTAAAGCAGCCTCCCAGAAATTTATCCGGGACAACTTCATTGAGTTTTCAGAAACTGACCAGTTCCTAAAACTTACTTTTGAGCAGATCAATGAACTACTGGTAGATGACGACCTGCAGCTGCCTTCTGAAGTAGTCGCATTCCAGATCGCAACCAAATGGTTAGAATTCGACCAAAAGAGAGTGAAGTATGCTGCTGATCTCTTGAGCAATATTCGCTTTGGTACCATCTCTGCTCAAGACCTAGTCAATTATGTTCAGTCTGTACCCAGGATGATGCAAGATGCAGATTGTCACAAGCTTCTTGTGGATGCCATGAATTATCACCTACTTCCCTACCACCAAAACACGTTGCAGTCTAGGCGCACAAGAATCCGAGGGGGCTTTCGAGTTCTAGTCACTGTTGGGGGGCGGCCTGCCCTCACTGAAAAGTCCCTTAGCAGAGATGTCTTATACAGGGACCCTGAGAATGGATGGAGCAAGTTGACCGAAATGCCTGCCAAGAGTTTTAATCAGTGTGTGACTGTGATGGATGGATTTCTGTATGTGGCTGGTGGAGAAGACCAGAACGATGCAAGGAACCAAGCCAAGCATGCAGTCAGCAATTTCTGCAGGTAAATGATCTCTCATTATGAAATTAAAGGTTAACATTGTAGAGAAATAGTCTTTACGTAGGAGTATGCTAGCCATGCCTAGCTTACCTCAGTTCATAAAATCAGAGAATGAAAGAAATTGATCCAGGGCTAATAGAACAGGTTGGTTTTGTTGGGAAAGCCAGAGATGAATACATACATCAATACATTAGGAAGTTAACTCCGGACATATTGTTGTTTTTGTTGTTTTAAATGACAGCCTCTCAATCCACCAGATATGTAACTGATGTGTCCAACATTTAGCAAAGTGCCTAGCACATAATAGGTGCTTACTAAATGCTCGTTGAATGATTGATTAGTAACAGGGAAAAGAGATGGAATAATTGACATCTAAGTTGATTTCTAAGATTTATATGAAGGGATAAATAAATTGTAGCAAAACTATAGAAAAGAGCACAGATATTTTATGGGCTTTCAGTTATTTCACAAATGTGATTGTAGTTACATGGTCATTGAGAGAGCAGAGACAAATGTCTTCTCATTATCCTTTCACTTAAATCGCATGTATAGCAAATCACGTGTGAACAATGGTAGCTTTGTAAAATCAAAAGGAATTATTGAAAGAAAAATAAAGCAAGAGAAGAAGAAAGGGTTTCCAAACAGACACTGCCCTGCTCAGTATAGGAAACAAGCATGAGAATGTTTCACATTCTGGGTGAGCACACTGGGGACAGTTGGTATTTCCTGGAAGAGTTTATAACCTGAGTTCTTATAGTTGGAGGTTGTTGGTGACCACGCCAATGGAGAATCTTCCAAAGAAGAATACAGATTGCATAAGTTAAGTAATAGGAGAGAATTGGTAGTTACTTTAGGCACACAGTATCAACATGGTTCTAAGGGTATGGGAATTCCCAGGGCCTAACCCTAATGTGCAAGTTTGTGTAGCTTCCTAGGGGTTCAACCAATATGATGTTCTCCTAGGGGTCCCATTGGTTTTGTATGACTGGGATTGAGGGACTGGCAGAGGGACCCCATGGGGGAGGAAGAAGGTATGGTCAGGGATAAGGCCTCATCTCCTTGGATCACCAGAGAAAATGAGTCACTCTTCAGGCTTAGTTAGCTTGTACAAGAAGTATCTTTGCTGATCTGTTCTTCCCATATGGTAGCAACTGCAAAAGAGGAAACCATTCTCTTTGAAAATCTCTCTCTTTCTTATTTTAATGAACATTTGTACTTTGTATTCAGGGTTTTATAATGAGATTGTATGGGGCAAAGGTGAATATTAAAATGTGAATAAGTAATTTCTATATCTACACTAATTTTATGCTACACAGCCGTCCAAAAAAGGGAGTTTTGGTGTCTCACACTATTGTCTTTTTCTGATGCATAGTATTCAATACAGTTACATATTTGCCCCTCTGAATCATTGATTAAATGACCAGAGAGGATATCTAAAATCAAAATGAACATACCAATGAATAAAAGAAGTAACATTTAATTCTCTCTTTTTAAGGTTCATGGCAGCAAAATCAAACTAGTTAAAAGACTAGGGCACTGTGAGGTGCACAAGAAGGATGCATACTTCAGAGACTGAAAAATGATATACCCCAAGCAACAGTCTTCCCTCTTGATGGGAAGTGGGGGGGGGTCAATAATTAGCTGTGGGTGGATGGATGTTTGTGGGGACACAAGGTTGAGGGTAAATGTGGGAGATTTGTCTTACTTCTTTCCACTGCCCATAAATATCCAATATCTTCCTGAAACCTCACAAACATCCCTCTTCTGGGTAGCCTGAATTGTCAGTGACACTGTAAATGAAGGTGAACTGATCATTTACTTTTGTCAGGGCTCTTCTCCCAGGTGTCTGTGGACCTGAGGACCACAGGGTTCTATTGGCAACCAATGAGGAAAGAGATCTGCTGAGTAAAACCCCTAAGTCTGAGGTTATATCCAAAAACTGCGAGTCATTGATGGAATGGATAAAGCACTGAATTAGTAGTAGAAGATTGTTGTAATTGAATCATTTTTTAGTTGTATTGGACTCTTTGTGACCCTATTTGGGGTTTTCTTGGCAAAGATACTGGAGTGGTTTGCTATTTCCTTCAGCTAGTAGAAGCAGTTGGGTTCAAATCCCAGGTCTGCTACTTACTACACTTTCGACTTCAGAAAAGTTAACTTCTCCGGCCTCACTTTCTTCATCTATAAAATGAGGGAATTGGATTACATTATCTCTGAGGTAGCTTGCTGCTCTAAATCCCATGAAGATTTTTGTTTGTTTTTTGTTTGTTTTTGCTCTCTTTACTAGTTACTTGTCGGTTATCTTTTTCTGACATCACAATTTGTTTTTAATGGTGTGGCGTTAGCTCAGAAATGTTTTAAAATTAGCTTAAATTCCTCAGTAACGACAGAGAAGAGTAATACACTTCTTTAACATTTTCAGATATGACCCCCGTTTCAACACTTGGATACACCTGGCAAACATGAATCAGAAACGCACCCATTTCAGCCTCAACGTTTTCAACGGGCTCCTTTTTGCAGTAGGCGGCCGCAACTCGGAAGGCTGTCTGTCTTCCATTGAATGCTACGTGCCTTCCACGAACCAGTGGCAGATGAAGAAGTCTCTGGAGGTGGCAAGGTGTTGCCACGCCAGTGCTGTCGTCGATGGCAAGATCCTAGTGACGGGAGGCTACATCAATAGCGCCTATTCCCGTTCAGTGTGTATGTATGACCCTGCTAACGATGACTGGCACGACAAGTCTATCCTTAGCACTCCACGAGGCTGGCACTGCGCCATCTCTCTCAGCGAGAGGGTCTATGTGATGGGGGGAAGCCAGGTGGGGCCCAGAGGGGAAAGGGTGGACGTGATCCCCGTCGAGTGCTACAACCCTTATACGAGTCAGTGGAGTTACGTGGCTCCCCTTCAGACCGGCGTCAGCACCGCCGGGGCTTCCACACTCAATGGTAGGATTTACTTGGTGGGAGGCTGGAATGAAATAGAAAAGAAATACAAGAAGTGCATCCAATGCTTCAATCCCGACCTTAATGAATGGATTGAGGAGGATGAGCTGCCTGAAGCCACTGTGGGAGTGTCATGCTGTACTATTTCTATGCCTAACAATATGGCCCGGGAATCTAGAGCTAGTTCAGTGTCCTCCGTACCAGTCAGCATTTAAAGGTAGTGAGAATGAAGAGAAAAGACGCATTTGTATAGCTATGTAATTAACCCTTTGGCCGCTTAAAAAAAATAACCACAAAGGACAGCGTATAAACAAACTTCCCCTACCACGATTGTATTTTAAAATGTAATGGTGAGCCACGTAGGACGCAGAGGCAGAGCAGTGGGAAGAGTCAGGCCACTGGGGTCACAACCCAGCTTTGCCGCTTACCTGCCTGTGTGACCTTGGGCGAGTCATTGAATTCACCTGAGATCTGGGTCTCATTTTCCTCATCTGCAAAATGATGGGGTTTGGGTAAGACGGCGGGGAAGGGAATGAGTACCTACAATGTGCCAGGCACTGTACTTTGTGTTTTATAAAAACCATCTTATTTGAGATTCAGTTCAATTCAATAAACATTTATTAAGCACCTGCTATGTGCCGGGCACGGTGATATGTGCTTTACAAATGTCATCTTATTTGAGATTCAATTCTATTCTATTCAATAAACACTTATTAAGAACCTGCTATGTGCTAGGCACTGCTAAATGCTGGGGATACAAAAAGATGCAAAGACAGTCCCTGCCCTCTTACGATCTAATGGATAATAACAATATCCTGCAATTCTCATGCCATGATGTTTAAAATCTCGAATGTCACTTAATCTACTGTGGTGACTGGCCTCGGGACCTCATTCACAATTGGAATTTGAGCAAAAAACCAGCGCTTCAGCCAAAGTAATAAAGAGGCAGCAGTTCCCAAAATGGCCACTGGGTGGCAGATATGTCTGGATTTGTTGTTTTCTGGAGCTGTATGAATTTTCCAATTCAGTTCTGACTTTACATTAAAGTTTAAGAATAATTTTGCTCACATATACCTGCATAGAATTGGTCCAGTTCTATAATATTTTTAAATACTTCATTTATTTTCATGTATATTTTATATTATCACTCAACACTTTGCTGCATATTAGATAGAAAACAAATGCTTATAACCACAGGACTCCCGTGGAAGCGAGGAATTCGTTCCTCCACAAAAGTTACCCTGGGATTTTTCCCCTTTATTCTAAGTAATTTCAGTTCTGCATATGATACTTATAGGTTCACTTTTTGGGAGGAAGATTGATGTGCTCTCTTACCTACCTACCTCCCATCCGCTTACCAGCTATCTATTTCTGGAAAGACTTGAGGCAACTTGGTCATAATATAACAATGTAATTTCATTTTCCTAGTTAGGGCTGAGTAATGGATATCCTGAGGCGGTCCATGTGTAAAAAAACACGCAAACACAAATTGGCTCCGTTACTCATCCCTCAAAATGGGGTCTGTTAGGAAAAGAGCATGGATCCTTAATCAAGACTAACCCAGACAAAATGGTAGATAAGTTTTGACTTTAATGATCCTGGATTTGTCTTTATGGGTCTTTTCCTCCATTTGGTAGCCTGTGGCACCGCTTCTTCCTTCCTAATTCAGGCAAATACAATCTTCTCAACTATCAAAACCTGCTCTCAGAAAAAGGATCTAACATCAGCCAGTTACACCTCAGTAGGAATTTGTCAAAGAAGCAATGTGGGATAGTGGCTAGAGAGCCAGATTTAAACCCAGGAAGCCTGGGTTCAAATTTGTTTATTAATTGATTAATTTTTAGCTTTCAAATTCACTTCCACAAGATTTTTAGTTCCAAATTTTCTCCCCATCTCATCCCTTCCCCCACCCCAAGATGGCATGGATTCTGAATATCCCTTCCCCTAATCTACCTTCCCTTCTATCTCCACCCCCCCCTTCTCCTACCCCCTTCCTCTTTTATGTTTCTATGGGGCAGGATACATTTCTATACTGGGTTCAAATTTCACCTCTGAAATATCCTGGGTATGTCAGGCTGGGGAAGCCACTTAAATTCTCAGTGCTCTAGTCTACTCTCCAACTCCATAAGTTCTAGAGAAGGTATTGACTTACACTGGTAGAAAGATCCCTCACCATGGAGTTTCCTATAGCAATGAAATGACAAGTCCAATCCCTGTTCCTCTGAATTTGACAGTAGAAAACCTCTAATTATAGAACAAGAGGTTTTTTTATTTATTCGCAAGACAAAATTTGACAAGTGAGTCATAAATACTGATCCTAAATCCCTAACCAGGAAGGCAGTCCTTCTAGTTATTCTTTGGCAAATTGACCACTCATAAATCCCAGAGTTATAGATAATAGTGTCTATAATCTGAAACATTAGAGTGCATCTCTGACCCAAATAAGATTAGACTGAACTTCAGTCCAGTATTATCATTCCCTAGCCTTTTCAGGGAATGATAAGAGGCTAATTTTCCGTAACGGCCCCAACCCTCCTATGCCTCCTTTTGAATTCTGCCCATTAGAGCTAGGCCAAGGCTTCTATACTCCCAGAATAAGGTTTAAAAAGCATGTCCACTATGTTACTGCCCACTGGAGTGCCAAAGCTTCACAACTGATAAAACTTGACTTACCACTTATAGATCCTGGGCTGCAGGGGTTTTTAGTAGTATAAACACATGTATTTATAAGAAATACTATTTTAAAGTGCCATTCACTGTGTTCCTACATCCCATACGACTGCCAACTTTGTACCCCTAGTTTGTATGATGGCAAGACACTAAATGACATGATTATTGAGTCTTAAAAAAACTTTTAAATTTACTACTTAGATGAAAATTTCTTTACTTTATGGGGTTTTTTCCTTTTGCTCTTATCCTTTTGAACCATATTGACCTCTCTTTTACATATATGAAAAATGAATACAAATTCTATGCTGCTTTGGTTTCTGATGAATAAAGCTTAGCAACTCAGGATTTCCCTATGAATTACAGAATTTGAGAATTGGAAAGGCCTCAGCAGCCATCTGGGTTAACCTATAACCAGAAGGAACTACCAGTATAGTATAACTGACAGGTGGTCATCCAGTCTCCGGTCAAAGTGAGGCAACCCACACCTCTTTTAGACAGCTCTAATTGCTGGAAAGTTTTTTCTTCGCGTCAATCCTAAATTTTCCTTTCTGTAACTTCCCCCTGTTGCTTCTGTTTGTGCCCTCTGGGGCAAAGCAGAACAATTCTAATGCCTTTCCAAATAGGTCAACCCTATAAATATTTTAAACACAGCTATCACTGCTCCCCTGAGTCTTCTCTTCTCCAAGCTAAAATATCCCAAGGTCCATTGACCCATCTTCATAAGCTATGAATTCGAGGCCCTTTTTTACAGTCTTGGTTGTCCTGCTCTGGACACTCCAGCTTACATGGTGCCGTTCTTAAATTCTGGCTTTAGCAGTGAAATGCTATCTTTTCCTTTTTGAATCTCCAGTTAAGCTGCTCCATTTGTCTTCTGAATGAAAAGACAGACATGATATTTTATAAAGAAATATTAAAACTATCCTTGTCCATCTTAAAGCGACTCCCTAGTTATTCTCTGGTCCAAATTTGTTTTGTGAATCAAGATAGAAACTGTCTGTTGTATATTATCCCATTTTCTTATACAGTTGTCAAACTCTAAGTCACTCAAGGGATAAATTATTGTCAATTGATACACATTTTCCTATTGTTCAGGTTGGAATGTGCTCAGAATTCTACTTTCATTGTATTGGAAAGAAAGTGTCTCATCAATTATGAGCTGTATGTAATAAAAAAAATACTTAAAGGGTTAAATGTGAGGTATACAAAAAATTATAATTGTGTTTTCATTCATCCCTGGCCCACCTTGTATTGGATTATTGCTGGAAATTGTGGCATTTTCGGTGTGTTTTTAAAAATTTCATTGAATTAGGAAAATAGGTTTATACTTTGCATTTTCATGGGTCAGTTTTATAATGTTGTCCCTTTATGGCATTCTAATCTCTCAACATTTAATTATAACACCTGAAGAGAGGTCTGTGCTTTTAAAAATAAGTCTAAATTCAGAAAGGATGTCACCAACTAAGCAGATTGTCTCTTGTTCTCCCCTCATATATAGCAGCCCGGAGAAACCTCTCCAAACATAATTCCCCTTGACTTCAAAGAGAGCTCTGCTCCCTTGGTAACTTGGCTGCCGGGGCTGAGTTATAAAACAACACGAGAATCAGGCCTGTTGAGTGAGCTAAGTATCTAAAATGCTTTAAAATAACAGATGGCTCACCCTATATCGACATTTCTTCTTAGCAGTAATAGCGACGGTGGAGGAAACAGGGCTTTTATGAAGTTAGCACAGTGGCAAGCCTGCTGCAGAATTTGAAACAACAGGACATTAAAATAATGATATCCCACAACTGTGGTTCCTGCGAAGCAGTTTATAAATGGTCAGTGGAGAGAATTGTGGGTACTCTATCATAGATAAGAAATAGCAATGGCCTGAGCAGCAGCGTTTCCAAATTCCACAAAGGGACATGAATTCTCCTCACAAAAGATAGGACACATTTCAGTAAACCATTACTGGTGCAAGGATAATAGTGTTTTAAAGTGCTTTATACATGTTATCTGATTCGATCCTCACAACCACATTAAGGTAAGTGTTATTATTATTCCCATTTTATAAATGAGGAAGCTAAAGCTCAGAGAGTTTGTGAAAGGACTTGCCCAGGGTCACAAAAATGGTAAATGTCTGAAGCAGAATTTGAACTCAGGTCTACACTGTGCCACCTTGGATCACCGTTATAGGAGTGTAAAATACTGCCAGTATTTTAAACAGTGTGGTACAGTGGAAAGAGCACAGGCTCCGGTGTCAGAAGACTTTCCCCGCGTGCTTATTGCACGCCCTCCTTGGGTACGTCCGTTAACCTCTGTGGGCCTCAGCTTCCTCATCTGTAAAATGGGAGGACTGGAATAGATGGTTTCCTTTCAGCTCTAGACTTGGGACTCTCTCAATTAGGGATAGACACTAAATATGGGATTTCCTTGGTATAGGAAACTCCCCCATGAGGAAATTCCCTCTGCCATTGTAGATTGGCACCTTCCCTGAGACTTTCAGTCATAGAGAGAGAACTGAGGGGATATATGACTTACCCAGGGCCACATAGCCAGAATGTGT